TGTGCACCGAGGCGTGTGGAAATATTCATCGCAATAAACCGTCAAATGTTGATTCCCGAATGCCATATCGCGACAGTATTCGAAACGAGAACTGCGCGCCGATTTAAATCGTTTGGTCTTAAAACACAGTACAATGTATCCCCATTATCTCTGCTTTACATAATCCAAGTATATGTTGTCTAATACAGGTGAAATAATATCAAAGTTGATATTATACGTGATTTACACGTTACATACGTATTATCGGGGTGGAGAAATGCAAAAGAGGGAAGCTTACCGAGTTGATATAGTTGATGAGGGACAAGCCGCCGTCCCAGGGGTGCTCGAGCTCGCAGGAAATATTGGCGGGCCTTAAAGCATGGGATAGCTCCAGGGTACGTAATCCCACCGCGAACACCTGTACGCTGTCGTACATTAACGCTGGATCGGCCTGCAAAAATACGAATCTCGGCTTTAGTCATTGCCAATGCTCGTCCGATACCGCGCGTGACTTAAGAAATGCGAACGTTTGCCGTGATATTAATCAAAATTTTGCTACGATTTCGCTTCGGATTTTGCAACCGCCCGCAACTACCATTATCTTGATTAAGAAATGTGTGGTGAAATAGTATTTGGTCATTAAAATCGATAAAATGTGGCGTATTTAATTCTGCAAAATTATATTCATTAAATTAAAAGTAACTATCGTAAATTAACAACAATTTTAGTTAATTAAACGTGTAGAATTAATAGCAAACACAATTAAATGTAAAATGATACGGGATGGTGTATGATCAAGAGTACAGAAAGATTTTCGAAAGGCGAAAAATGGGCAAAATTGCGCGCAGCTCGCAGTGAAATGCTCCGTTTATTAATTGCAACGCTATTAGTCACGCGTGTGCGTTTATTTCCATGAATTATGAAATTCACGGTACGTTGCCGTGTCGAAGTTATGCGCCAGTTCTAATCTAGTCGACACGACGACGGCGACGGTGTTGCTGCGCTCTCGCCGGAAACGTCGGCGGAAAATGTAATATTCAGTGAGAAGAGACTATAGAAGATTTGATGGCGGCGTCGCGTGAATTAATTTCGTTCACGCGTTATTTATTCCTGTCCTGTCGAAAGTTTGTCGATGGTGTTCACCGCGAATTCCTTTTTCTTCCCTCTTTCCATTGATTGTAATTATGTACAATACAATAGTAGCAGTAGCTTAAAAAATATAGAGTCCCCTATTATGAGATAGTATCCTAATATGGGATAGCGGGGTTTCCGTTAAATCAATATGCATCGTCAGTTGATTCCACCATGAATTTATTGCCCTTGGAGCGAAATCTGCTTAGTGGAAAATTCATCGTTAGATCGTGTAATCGTGGCGAAAAAAGATTTGTGATTGAATTTGGACATTGAAGATCTACTGTCTCTCATTTTAGAATCCTATCTCATAATAGAGGACTTTCCTTCAACCATAAAGTCTATATACCATGAGGTTTGTCATAATTCATGTATTTTCGTCTAATGGTCAGTAAAATATTTAACATGCGAACGCGCAACGACGAATGCATTCGCGTTAATTCATTTTTATGCTTATAACTCGTTCGATCTCTTCATAGGGATTTACTGCAATTCGGTGTCGACAGAATTGGGATCCCGATACTTCACGCCTTTCAGTCAGTTAAATATATTAATAACAATAATGCACTAGTATATTAATCGTCAACTACTGTTTTATACATTATAACGCAACAACAACAATATTAATGAAGACAAATAATGATAATGAAAATTTGCTCATTAACAAATAAATTAACTTAAACAATGTTTATTATAATTAAACCATTCATAATGGTATTTACGCCCATAATGGTATTTACAACCTAATGGTACGAAAACCTCATCTACCAAAGGCTATTCGTGTAATCAAATAATATTGTATTAATACCTTTATCAGCCACCGGTTTATAGTTGTCAGAGAATCGCTAATAATACCGGTTGCGAAAGGTGAAAATTTCAGTGGCGCAATCGGGACGACGCGGGACAAACTATTAGCTTCCGGGATAATTTTAGTGGTAGCTTCCGGTGATGGCGATCGATACGAGGCAGTCACGTCGCGAATTGATTTCACTCGTATTTCAGAGCCGTGAAACGATGCTAAGCACGACGCGACCATTCCGCCCGCGACCGCTTCTCGTCTTCATTTCCTTCCCTTTCCCTGCACCTTCTTCACGCTGCGCGTCCTGGAAGGCACGTATTTGAGGCGGACAAACACGCGGAAGCATCCAGGAAACGACCGGCGCCCGTGCTTAGTCTTGCGCGTCTCTTCATCACTCGCTATGTGCTCGCCCTTTCTGCTACGAGTAGTTTGTGGAGCTTTACTGTTTGCCCTGAGCTAAAGTGCGACGTGTCCCGCACCTCCCCGCACGTTGATCCAATATTGCGTTTTCGTTGATGACGCGCGAATTTACCGCGACTAATCAACTTTCCCGGTGTGATTTCAATGCCCTCGCTTCGGATTTCCCGGATTTTACCACCAAGTGAAAGGCTTCACGGATCTCTCCTCGCGCTCTCTTTAAAGTTCTGGAGGGCTTCTCGAAAAATTCTGATAATTAATAAATGCATAAGACTCGGATTCCGTCGAATTCTGATAATTGTTCTCGACGCTCGAAGCGACCAGACAATAGAGAAGACGCGGTAGACTCCCGACAATATTTTGATTCTCGGATAGAAATTTTCCAGGGGAAAAATACTCTGATTACAATTTGTACATTCTCGCGCAATGTATTTTAAGCACAAACGTAAAAGGTGAAATGAACGTGACATTGTGGCCGCGCGCAAACATCTCAGTAACGTGATTTTGCAGACACGTAGACGAGCTCTCTGATCCGTACATGGTAAAGCTTTTTCGCGTTGCATCCCTAGAGAATTAAGAATCTGATGGGAAATTGAAAGGTCCCTACTTTATTTATATTATATGCCGAAACTATATTTGGCTACGCGATCATTTCTTTCAAGGGTTGACTGATTTCACCAAGAGAAGATGTGGACTGAATTGATTCTATTCAGAGATTATTTCCGAGAATAGGATTTTAGAACATTTATAATTACTTTCACAGAGTTTGATGAAAATTTTAATAGCGCGCTATTAATTTGAAATTCTATTTCGCGCCCTTAATCCTCTTATATTACTGTACGTAAATAATTGATTACTTTTATTAAGCATAGAGCGCCCAAGTTCGATAATTGTATTAAAAAATTTACAATAAATTCGCTATATTTATTACGTGGGATGAGTAGCAACAGAAAGTTACGCGTGCAATTTCGTTCAATATTAGTTTACAAATTATCGATGTCAAGCGCGTGTTGCGGTTTTACAATTATGCTAAAACCTCCGCGCGGGGCAGTAATAATCCGAAATGAGAATCCGGAAAGTTTGTTCATTCGCGTGAAAGTTGATGAACTGGCGCTAACGTAATTTATGCGGCAGGATATGCAAACGCGCGACAGTAGGGTGAAACGAGTGTGACTCAGGTGGGTGTGAGCATATCCTGCTTGTCTTACCTCCGCCTGAGGCAAACAATAAAGCTCCAGCAAACTATTTGTAGACGCAAATCTCATCTCGGCGAACTTGAAATCTGCCTGAGAATAGCTCACGGGCTAACTGCGGGCAGTTATGCTCCCGCTTCTTTTTCTGCGGCAGCAAGAGCATGTTGTTATAAGGCGGTGGAAACTAGATTTGTCTGAGAAATGACTGATTTGTTACTTCGCGATAAGAAATTTCGAAATTTTTTCAGTAGAAACAAGTAAACCAGACAAGCAAACGATTTGTCAAGATTTCTCCGACATTTCTCAATTCGAACAATTGTTTCTGTATCTCTTAATAAATATTTAATACTTTTTCCTGGCTGCGGTAATATTTTTCGTAATAAGAATTTTAATTTTCAATAAGGCGGGAGGGAGGTTATCGTAATAAATGCTATGTACAGCATTTATAAAGATAATTTAGAAAAATCGCTGTGCGATATTATAACACGTGAACTCACTGACGACAATGATTTCATCTAAGGGGAAAAAACCTGTGTATGTCCGTTTGTAACAGTGCACAAGACAGGATGGAATAAATACAGTATACAGATTCGCATGATAATTCAAGTGGTCGCCTCCATCTGTGCCAGGCCCTTAAAAAATAAAGGCGTTTACATTGTAATTTGATTAATACTTTTTCATTATTCTCGAAACAGAATTATGCTTATTTTAAATCCTATTACATTTGTGTGTTTTTATCTTCTTAGGTAACCATTATGCAAAATGTCTGCATAAAAAGCAGGGGCGTGTAAATAAAATATTTTATACAGTAATGAAATACTTTACATTGTATATTTTTTCCTGATATTCTGTATAATTCCACAAAAAGAATTGTAATTAATCCCTTGCACTCGGAAGTTGATTTATATGCGATATCACATTTCATTCCAGTAACTCGAATGTTGAGATACTTTTTATATGATATTTCCAGGAGTTTATTGTATTTTTATATTATTAAATCTTTAAATATGCAATATGTAATAAAATTATAATATTAAAATCGTAATAAAATTATGTTCGGAGAAATAAAGAAGTTTTATTTATCGAGTTATGAAAATGTTAAATTAATTGCAGAATGCAAAGGATTAAATAATTTAATAAATTATTAGCTGAAAAAGTACATATTTACTTCATACGCAGATATTTTATAAAATATTGATAACTTTTGTACATATAAGAGATATATTTTGTATGAAATTCCACGACAAAGCTTTCGCAAGGATCAATCTTGGCTGTGAGAATGAAAAGGAAACTAAATCTTTGCAACTACAGAGTAGCATTCTTTACTGAACAATTTAAGTATGAATAAACTCTGAACTTTTCAGTGTATAACTGAAGGAAACGGATTTGTAAATTAGTTGTTCACGGCCAAGGAGTCGAAGGTTAAAAAAAGAAAGTCAGAACCCTAAACATATTTGAAAGGGATAATATAAATAAAATCTCCACGGAAACGTTTGTGTGAAATAATGAAGGATCACATTATTTCATCGATATGTATCAACGTTGGTGAAAACACGATTATGCCACACTGCCATAATTAAATCCGAAAACAGACTTATTCGCGTAAAGCTATACATCAATGTGATATACTTTATATACAAAAAGGCACCTAATACTCGTATCGCCTACCAAAATTCAAATCGTTCTCACTTAAGGAATAATAGACATTTATGTCTGTATTTATCATAGTTTCAAATGACAGAGGAAACATTTGTGCTTCATGTACACGATCAGAATGGTTAAAATCTAAAAAATTTTAATCCACATTGAAAAGAAACGAAAATGGTAAAATCGGAAGTTTGAAAAATGGCACCTAATATCGCCTACCTTATAAATTTTTATAAAATCATTGTTTATCAATATGTGTGAGTT